GTGTTACTATATGTAATACTCTCTATAATACAGTAAAGTAATATACTGACTTTAAAATAATATTTTTTTATAGGTGAAAAGTGTTTAAACATAAGAACAAAATAAGAACATTTTGAGCCTGAAATCGACCAAAAAAATAAGAACACTGAGCCTGGCAAAGTTTTATTGTTTCCTATAAAAAAATGTGTAGTAGACTTCTTGCTTTTTTTAGTAGCTGTGGGATCTGGACGACACTATGTTGATCTTTCAGTTGCAATTTTTTTCTTAACAAACTCAAGTTTACATGGATTGTTGATAACAATAATACCTTGAATTTATTGTATTTCAACTAACATACTAAAAAATAGCGTAGCATATAACTACGGCCTATGTGTATGTGTTTTATACAGTACTCAGTCTTAGTTCTTTAAATGTTAGAGCACTATACAAAAGAAACTCTAACTAAAGTATTTACATGCTCTTGGTTGTCCATAAATGGTAGGTGTACCCTGGATTGGAATAATATGTTCAGGTACTCATGGTCTATGAAAATAAACAGCTAAATACTCTAAGGAAGAGTAGCACTTTAATACCGTTTGAGATTTTTATTAACACATTCGTGTACAAAATACACTTCTTCAGCCAAGAAAATGAAGGTGAACGGGATATGAATGTTTGGAGATTGAATTACAAAATCTGTTTAAATAGGATGATTATGGTATCAGAAGTTTTGGTGTCTGAGCCCTAACTCTCTTAGCGACCACTTTCTCTGGGCGGTCGCTTACAAGAGGATCCAATGTGTTTATATCTAATATTCATATTTAATAGGTCAGATTTAATTTTAGAAGTTGCACAACAGACAGTGTTTTGAATTGTGATAATTGGTCGTTATATTTTCCAGGAATCAGAGATGCATTCAAACGGGGCAAAATCGGAAGTTTAATTGGTGTTGAAGGTGGGCATAATATTGATAGTCATATGGCAGTATTGAGGGCGCTGTACGCTCTTGGAACTAGATACATGACAGTGACTCATAGTTGTAACACACCATGGTATGTGATAGACTTTGTTAAATTTTCTGGTTTTTTTTAAATTGTGTTTTTATAATTAAATATCGCAACAAAATAGAAACAAAAAGAACAGTAAGTCTTTATACAATGCTGTGATATTGCATACAGCAAACCATATCAAATATAAAATGTACATAAAATAACCTTCCTGGTTTTCATTGTTAACTGCAGGGCAGACAACTGGTTGATGGACGAGTTACCGGAAAATGAGAGGGAGTTTAATGGTCTAACTGACTTCGGCAAAGTAATTGCTTTATATTTATAATTATAATAACTTTTAAATACAATATTAAATTTTTACATTAAGGATCTCTCAATAGTGGATGTGTAATTAATACATTTTTATTTTTATTAACACTAAAGTATCAATGATATATATTAATACATTTTAAATTTATATTAATTATTACTTAGATTAAGATTTAAATTATATTTAAGAAAATATTTTTCAAATGTTTAAAATATTTACTTATTGACAAATTAATATCAATTTTGTAGATATATATATATATAATTTATATTGTTTTATATAAATGTTCTTTATATTTATATAATAATAATACTTATTTTTAAGCCTGTATAATGTGTCCCGATGTTTTCTTTTCCAATGGTGTTCTCACTTATGCTTTACTTGTGTGTATGCATTCGTTAACAAAAGCATTAATGTTTCTGTTTTCTTATTTAACAGAATGTTATAAGAGAAATGAATCGCCTTGGTATGATTATAGATCTCAGTCATGTATCAGTTGAAGTCATGAAGCAAGTTCTAAGCATCAGTGCGGCTCCAGTAATGTTTAGCCATTCTTCAGCATATGCTATTTGCGCAAACTATCGAAATGTGAACGACGAAGTACTAAAGATAGTGGTAAGAAGTGCACGAGTCCTTCAAAAATGGATCTGTAAACGAAAAACTCAGGGCGAACAGTCCTCGGCGGGGCCGGCGGTCGCACCGCCGAGATCTGGCATTTGGCCTAATTGACTTTAGAGTATGTCATAATTAATGTTAACTTAATCTTTTAATACAACTACCGTATTGTAACAGCAAATCAGATGTAAAATTCCACACTTATAAGACAGGCTTAGTATCAGACTCCTTTCTAATTCATATTTATAATAATTATATTCTCAGATTAAATATTTGTGCCTATCCGAGACAGCAACTGGTAGCTTACCCTATGTTATTATCTTTTACAGAAAGAAAAGGAAGGAGTTGTAATGGTAAACTTTTATACCAAATACATCAACTGTCCACCATATCAGCTGCCAGGTACAACCGAAAACAATGGCACACTGAGCCAAGTTGCGAGTATGTTAAATTTTCTCATGAAGTTTTCATAATAAAGTAAAGTACATAACATGTGTCCGTGTTTTTAATAATGGAGGGCTAAAATGGCAAACCTAAAGTGAAGTCTGAAACGTAGACGTTTGGTGATTTGAGTTTCTGTGTTTACTGTAATGTAATTGGTGTTGCTGGTAGGATACTTTCAATGAGATCAAGTACATCAGTTCTTGATACTTTGCTGCAATTCCTTTATTCAAAACTAATACTAATCTACTACAATATATACAAAGTGACTGAACTTCAGGTTATTTATTTAAGATGTTACTAGAGTTAAAAACCCTTATAGAGTGGAATCAGTTCCGAAGTGTACCTTTCTAACTTTGGGATGTTCTTCGCTGTTATCTACTATCTGTGATATTGAGTGTTTGCTATATACCCTCCACTATTAAAGGTGTGATCAATACCCTCATACTAGTAAAGGTGTGATCGATTAGGTCACCTAATGTTGTTAGAGTTTATTATTATTTAATAACGTGTTTATTGAAATATTCTTAATTGTGATGGAATGACCTGCCAAATGTTACCTGCTACAGTGTCATTTATAGGTTTTATATTTTTATGTCTAATTGTAAAGTTAAGGTAAATTGTTGTCACTTAAAAATGACTATAGTTGCATAGTCGATGGTCAGTCTACCCTAGATGGGCATTTAACTGTCAAACTAAGTTGAGACATTTAGCAGATTCAGTATCAAATGAAATGTATCGATATACAAATTGGATTGATTTTTAAAACTTAATGTTATTGAATCCTAATACTACTTACATTACAAACCTTGTCTAAACACACACACACACACACACACACACACACACACCCACACACACACAAAGAAATCCTCAGTTGTCCTCAGTTATTTTTTACTCAACTTAAATTTTTTTTGTAATTTTCACTAATCACTTCGTGCTGTTTTTTCAATTTTTATTCTACAAAACAGATAAAAATGTTTATTACTTTTTAGACCACTTGGATCATATTAAGTCTGTTTGCGGTGAAGACTGTGTCGGGCTTGGGTCGGATTTTGATGGCGTTTCTACGTAAGTGCTTTCAGTTACTATCCTGGTGTCTGTCAGAAATCATAGTGGAAAGAATTGACTGGTATGAACACATTACATAATCAATTAAAATAAATAATAGGGCGTTATAATTAATATGGTTATTTATCTTTTTGATTAATCTACGAAACAGATAAAAATGAAACTTTGGTGTAATCGGTAAACATAAGTGCATTTGCATTTTAAAGTTTCCATTTTATATTGATTACTTACATTATTGGGTAATAATAAAATCACATTTTTCGTAATTGACTCTTATACTAAGCATGGAGAAAGTGACTTTCTCCACGTGCTAAAGGCTTGGATGTTGCATTGTGTGAGATGACTTTGAAACTCAGTAAGTTTCAAGAAAACAGCTGTGATAGCAAAGACATTTTCAGAGTCGAAAAACATCTCAACGCCATTGCACTAGAATCAGCGAGCACTTGTATTAATATGACTGCTCCCAGCTAGAATGAAAATATTAGTGTTTGCTGTTGGTCTTTCCCTAATCTGCTCTGCTTTATTTGACAATTTATAGACCATTCGAAAAATAATATTACTTAATTTGAGAATTTGAGATGTGGATATGGAGAATAATGGAAAAATAATTTGGTAAGACAAAATTACAAAAGAGTATCTATTAGAGATAATAAATAGAAAAAAAGAAGAAAAGAAATAGAAAAAGTAATAAATCATATTCTGAGTAAAAAAAAACTAAACTGTTGAAAGAAAGTAGAAAAAGGCGTCTCGTTGAAGAAATCAATAGTACTTCATACAAAAAGATGGCCTGCTTGCTAAGATGAAAGAAAGGGCAAGTGATAATACATATTGAAAGCATTATTGCTCAGAACAACATACTAGAAGGCAGAAAAGCAATATTGATGATTGTGTAGACAAGAGGCTTGGTAGTTTTTGTGATGTAAGAACCCGAATAAATATTGAATTTGTTATTACAGACCCATTCCCTAATGTGGGCGGCAGGTTTCTGTAAACACATTTTAAACGTAGTAGTTACTGTGGACGCCATTGCAGACACACTACAAATAGTACTGACGCTAAATATAATGTTACTATAATTAAGGTATACTTCGTCTAGACTTCTTTGAAGAAGTAGCATGGAGAGTGCCAGTAACGGTATTTTATAACTTTTGTACACTACACACAATATGTAAGACACAATTTCATGCCTGCCGAATTGACAGAAAAGATATTTTGCTTTTTAATATGATTTTTTTTCAGCAGAAACATAATCAAGTTTTCAAAAACTTTTTTTAATGTCTAATCACAACCAACAGAGTACCTGATGGTTTAGAAGACGTATCAAAGTTCCCTTACCTTATAGCAGAGCTAATCGACAGAGGCTGGTCTGATACTGCAATCAAAAAATTACTTGGAGAAAACTTGCTACGTGTTTTCAAGGGCGTTGAAGACGTATGTATCAAATATTGTTCTAAAGCCAGGCTCCAGAACAAAACATTTTTTTATATATGTTGTACAACTGATTTTTCAAAAAGGTGTTTCCCGAAATTGTTGAACATTCAAAAATCTGCATCTCAAGAACCGTTCCAGAGTTTTTTCATCAAACATCCCTTTTGAGTCTTATAAGTTGTACAATATATCAGAAATAAAATTCCTCAGGAGCTTGGCGTTAAAGATACACCGTCTGTGACATGCTAAGTAAATTTAGGCCTATATATAAATCTTTCAATAATTTGAATTGGATAGTTTGTTTATTGGCTATCAATAGAAAATGACAAGCGTTTAGATAAAGCCAACTGCTTTCCATAAAATCGCTGCAATATCACTAAAATGTTTTCACTGCCATTGTTGCACTGCGTCCCCGACGCAATCGGGAAGGCTCCCATATTCGATCGAAGAATCATAGTCGCTAAAAAAACACTTAGCGCGAGCGTGTAGCGATTTTAAGGAAACTAGTCTTACCTCGGTTGTTATATCGTATTGCATACAGTAAACCCTTAAATTTACTGGTATTTAAATTATAGTATTTTGTTTGAAAGGATCTGCAATCAGTGAAAAACTTTCTTGAACAATCAGTAAAAACTTACCTTATCATTTAAAATCTATTAACTTAAAATATCCGTTCACAAAATCAATGAGAGAGTATTATTTATCAGGCACATAAGTAAAATATTGCAACTTTGTATAATTTACGTATTTTTTCCATATGTAAATGTAAATATATTAGTGCAAAGCCTATATATTTTTTTTTATGAATCACCATTATTTATTTATATAGGCCTAAAGTAAAACCAGACTTGATTAGCTTTTACACTATTTTTTTGGTTACCTAATTTGCCTATTACATGTTTTCACATACTTACAAAAACATTGTACTTTTATGAAAAAAAGGCAAAAATAAATAAAGAATAATATTTTTGATTTTATTAAACGTTTTCTAATGCCATTATTCAATTTAAAAAATATATATATTCTTTCTCTTTTGTTAGACGCGTGATTCCCTTCAATCTAAATTGCCAGATGAGTCGTCAATGCCAAGAAACAGTGGCAAAGAGGTCAACAATACGTGCCGAACATATGTATTTAATCCTGATGAGGCATAACAAACACGTTTCAGTAAAGTATTCAGCAGAAAAAAAAAAAAAACACCTTTCGAGGTTGCGTCAGTACTCGATGCCCTCACTACAACATTGCATTATGCCAGGATAACCACCCGGTCACCCTGTGCACCTCTCTCCAGAGTTACTTAGGCCTACTTTTAGGGCGCACCCATGATCACACAAGCCGATTTTTTTTAAGCTGCTGTTCTCAAATCCTGGCACGCCATTATTTACTATACGAACTAGATAATTGTTTTGTTCGTTGTGTTATAAACCTTTATTTTTCTAAAATGAATGTCCTACATGTTTCAATTAAAAATAATGAGAGGCGGTATTTAATTAATAATTGTTGTTTTGTTTCTATTTAGATAATTAATACAACATTTGCTTCATTTATGTTTAAAAAAAACAATGGAGCCTAGATGATGACATAGATAACAGATAGATTGATAGGTATGGTACGTTCTACTGTATATTTTATTGAGCTGAAATTAATTCCCGTATTTATTCGAATAAACGACCCGCTTTGAATAAACGCTCCCCTCGAATGAACGCCCCACCAGAGCCTGATTTGGAATACTGTAAACGCCTCCCTCAAATAAACGAGTTTATTTTTCCCTCGCATAAACACCCCCCCTTTATTTTTCCCTCGCATAAACCCCCCCCCCCCCCAAAATGACTGTAAACAAACCTAGTGGAAGCAACATCATACTCAACACATTACATTTATGTTCTACTGCAGTAGAAGTATATTTTTTCAATCTGGTTGGGATCCATAAGTAATAACACATTTTGATGGTAATTATGTGATGCGGTTCTACATTTGCAATGAAATTTAGGGGCGTTTATTTGAGTAACTATAAACGCCAGTTCCCTCAAGTAAACTCCCTAAAAAACTCTTCTCAACAATAAACGGGGCGTTTATTCGAATAAATACGGTAATGAAACGATATCAATTTATTGCTAAAGCTCGTGGCCTTGCTTCTATTTGTTCCTAAATTTGATAGGCAATGAAAACGTGTTTTAAAAACAAGACAAAACTAAGAAACATCATTAAAGGTTTTTGAAAATAAAATGTCGTGGGTTCGGTTTGTATATCATAATTACAGTTTCTGCAGTTACAACGAAAACGGGATGTGGAGATAACTGAGAACCCCGATGCTAATGGTGCATTTTCTATGGACAGTGGACAGAGAGAGTATGTATGTATGTATGTGTGTGTATATACATAC